CGAAACATCCTGAACTCAACACAACACTACAGTTCTGAGCACACTCCTGACCTGGGAGAGATGTGGACTGTCACCTCCCTTTAAGACCTGATCTTCTACTGGGCACAGAATACTAGTTTGTGCACACCTCCAATCTCTCCTCCTGTGGCTATATATGACCAGCTGGGCAAACAGAAGAATCGTATCTCCCTGTGAAGGCTTATCTCAAGAAAATCCATGCTCAATAGTTGGAAGGAGAGACAGTGGTATCAGAAAGTGAAGTAATCATCACAATGATACATTTGAGAGATGCAAGAGACTGCATGTGATCAGAGAGAGACACAAAATTAAGAAAGAAGTTTGCTATAGTTATAGGCAACAGTATGCAAACTAGAACATGAGGTAATGATACAACATCAGGATGTAAAAGGCAAGGATTGGTTATACCTGGAATAACAAAAGTTGCTCTCTTGATGTTTTCCTTCTGATGTTACATTAGCAGTAAGAAGGGAGTAAGCAGGTGCTAGCCCTTCATTAGCATTGCAGAGCGCAGGAACTCCTCTTGCATTACATGACATGCAGACATTAATTGACTGAGCTGCCCTCAGTTAGATCTGGGCTACATTTTCACCATTTTAGCCTCCCTTTAGCTGATTAGGCATTTGCTTTCTTAAGAGTATTAAGAGCGGCTATAAACTACTCCTCCACTTCTGTTGCCACATCACTAAGAATTATGCAATGGAGCCTGCCTAGTATCAGAGTTATCAATTTTCAAAATGAATCATCTGTTCTAATGCAATAGAGTTCACTTCAGTACTACTCCTTCCTTTCATGAAAGATGTCTGGCTGCTTCTGGCATCTGGTCCTGATGTGCTTTTGAGAAGCCTGAATAACCTCTGATTACCAGTAGTGAGTCAGTGTTTTACAAAAAAAAAAAAAAAAAAAGACGATCAAGGAACACTTCCTAGCTCTGATTTTCATACATTGGAGAAGGACAATAATATCAGAATGTAGGAAAATGTGTCAAAAATTATTATATTCTGCCATGATAGGAGCTGCACAAGACACAAAGAAGTCTACTGATGAGTAGAACAGCTAAGAGTAAACAAATTCTCCTTGAAAGTTCAGTTCAGAATTTTGAAAAAAATACCACATAGTAGCAATCCAACTGTGTTTATCTCCCACAACCTTTGGCAAAGTACTATAGGTAGGAGCAACCTCTATCATTTGTACAACACACATACCGCTAGCCTGTGAGAAACATTACACTAAATCTTTTCAGATCCTTTCTTAGGTGCAAAATATACTATTCCCACCAGTGTTGATTAGCAAATTCCTACATTAACAACCAATTATCACATATATTGTCCTCCAGTTCAAGGGTGCCCTTCCTCCCATCAGCTTTTCTTTAGCCATCCCTACAGACCACCTACTAGAAGTCCCCACTGTGTTATTATGGTTTGTCTTAAACCTGAGCAGCAAACCAATCCTTGCCTATCACACGTAGACAGGTCCCTGTCAAACCCAGACTTTACTTTGAAAATGCAATTTTTCGCTGAACACATACCTGATCTTAAAAACTAAAGAACCCACCAGTTAGCAATGACAATGAATTTTCTGTGAAAATGGATCTTCCTTCCCATTTCCCTGAAACTCCTCCAAAACTATGACTTTTCCATAGCTTGGTAAGTTCTGTTTTACTTAGAAGTCATGCTACCTACTTGTTGGTTTGCCTTTGGTGTTGTATGACCATGTTTTTTTCATGGATAGTTTCCAGCAATGCAGTGGCCAGTGATTTCAGATCTGAAATGGACTGTGGTGTGGCTGGTAGGCTACATCCATGATCCTCTGACAACAACTCTTGGACTATAATGTTAAAAACACAAATGAGTTTTGGCTTCTCATGCACAGAGATGTGACACAAACATTTACTTAGCGTTAAAGAACTATTCTTGTTACTTAAATGAATACATATTTTTTCCTTCGATTAACAAACAAAGCCAAAAGACCAGAAATATAATTTCTAGCTAGCATAAAGATGGTGGCTTTCTAAGCTGATTGTTATTCCACAGCAATTGCCAGAACAAGTATAGGCAGACACATCTTATGTTAACTTAATTCTGTTTTTGGAAAATTATTTTTGTTCAGAAGGAAACAAACTCATTCTTCTACAGGCCTACAGACTGGTAAAAATCAGTCATTTCTCTCCCACTTCCATTAAAACATAAGCCCACAAGGAATATTTTATATTACTTTTTAAAATTATTATATCCTTCAGGTTATTTAAGACTGATGTGAAAATACAGTCACCCATGAACTCTTCCTCTGCAGCTTAGAGCTTGTACCTCTCAACCACATCAGGAAGTTCACTAGTATCATTAACTTCTGTAACTAGAATCTGGCTCTGCCTCTTATATA